CTGCCCGGTCGCCAGGGCAAGGAGGGTGGCTCCGGGGACGCCGGGGTGCTTCCGCACGAGTCCGAGCTGGGATGCTCTTGGAGCTGCGCTCGGCGGCTGAGATGCAGCCGGCTGAGGCTGTGGGTCTCCGTTGCAGATGCCGAGAGCCGAGCCCTGGCTAAAGAGCGCCAAAAGAAAGACAATCACAACCTGAGTAAGTCCTGCACCTCCCGCACTCCTCGAGGCCGCGGCTTTCTCTCTCTGAGCCCCGTCAGTGTGCTCCCTCGCGCCCCCCCATCCCGCTTCCCCCCTTCTCCCAGCTGGGTCCCCTTCCCAGCCCAGCTCGCTCTGAGGAAAATACCCCCACAGCCCCCTGGCATGGCTCCCTACTCCCGGGTCTGCGAAACGCCTGTGCCGAGGGGGGGGCACCCTGTTATTATTCCCATTAGCACGGGGAGGAAGGTTGGAAGACCCTGCCGGGGCAGTGGATCCGGGCAGGACAAGGCTTCCTGGGCCAGAGCTCGCAGCTGAAAGCAGCTGAGACCCGGGGAGTTCAGTGCATGCTCCTCACCGCTGTCTGCAGGGTATCCTGTGCCCTCAAACATGAGGAGCTGTATCTGCTATATTTATGCCTCTCTTTGGCTTGTGCCCAACCATTGGCCCCAGCGGTTCCTTGTCTTGAAGTCCGCCAAGCCTGGTGGGTCTGGCAGCGGGGCACAACAGCGTCCCTTGGCCCCACGGCCGGGCAGAAAGGGGGCAGCAGCGGGGCCGGCAGGGCTGCAGGGTGGCGAGGCGTCCCTGCCATCTCCCATCCCCTCATTGTCTTCTCTCTCTCCTCACCCTGCAGTTGAGAGACGGCGGAGGTTTAACATCAATGACCGCATCAAAGAGTTGGGGATGCTGATCCCCAAGGCCAACGACCTGTACGTAGCGCGGGGATCTCCGGTTTCTGCGGGGCTGGGATAACTGCGAGGCACTTGGGCATGCTCAGCACCGTGCTCAGCCTCGTGCGAGGGGATATTTGCAGAGGGGGTTTTTGGTGGAGCAAGGGTGAGGGGACACGCTGCTGGTCAGGAGATGCAGCTGGTGATGTGTTTTTCCACCCTGCGCTTCAGGGACGTGCGCTGGAACAAAGGGACAATCCTGAAGGCTTCTGTCGACTACATCAAGAGGATGCAGAAGGACTTGCAGCGGTCACGAGACCTGGAGAATCACTCCCGGCGGCTGGAAATGACGAATAAGCAGCTACTGCTCCGCATCCAGGTGAGTTTCCCTGGGCTCTGCCCTCCCTCCGTCCTCCTCCAGCTGCTGAAGCATCTCCTTGGGCCCCGCGAGCACCTCGCTCCTGCCCTGCCGGAGAGCACGGGCAGGCTCGCTTCCCTCTTACAGCTGTCTTAAACAGTCTTCAGATAAACCACGGCCCCGCTGAAAATGCAGCAGGACCAACTTTACCCTCTGTGCTCCCCCTGGCACAGAGAGGACCTAAGATAAAACCTGCTGGAGTCAGTGGCAAGATAGCACTGACTTGGGTGGATGCTGGAGCAGCCCTGCTCAGGTCTGCCTTGCAGCACCGCGCGCGTGCAGGGGCCGAGCCTGAGGCTGAGGCTTCATGTCTCCCACCACTTCACGTCTCCTACTGCTTGCCATGACCGTTTTTCATGCCTCTTCTGTGGGCCCCTTCCCTGTGACTTCTCGGTCCCTCTGTTCCCTCTTCCCCAGCGTTTCTGGGGGGCTTTGATTTTTCTCTGTCCATGCTGCCTCCCTGGGTGTCTGTGCTCCATGTGCCCTTGTCTCCAGGGGTGGTGACATGGTGTCCCCACTAAAGGCCTCCCATGCTCTGTTGGCAGGAGCTGGAGATGCAGGCCCGTGTCCACGGGCTGCCCACCTCCTCGCCCTCGGGCGTCAACGTGGCCGAGCTGGCTCAGCAGGTGGTGAAGCAAGAAGCTGGCGGGGACGAGGGGACAATGGAGCCGCCGCTACTGCCCCTGGACCCCGAGGCGCAGCCACAACCTGCACTGCCACCGCCGCCCCAGTCTCCCTACCACCAGCTGGACTTTACCCACAGCCTGAGCTTTGATGATGGCTCCAGGGGCTTCCCGGACAGCCTGGACCCCAGCCACAACGTCTCCTTCCCTTCCCTATCCAAGAAGGAGCTGGACTTGATGCTGATGCAGGACACCATGTTACCCCTGGCTTCCGACCCCTTGTTCTCTGCCATGTCCCCGGAGGCCTCCAAGGCCAGCAGTCGCCGGAGCAGCTTTAGCATGGAGGACACAGACATGCTGTGACAAGGAGCTGCTCTGCTGCTGAGGGCAAGGACTGGCCCTTCAAGATCGGTTAGCGAAGTTACAGGGCGCTCTTCCTCCCCTGCCTGGATGAGGAGGCTGTCCTGCTGAGCACTTGAATCCACGTCGGAGTACATCTCTCTCTATGCAACGGGAGTCTCGGTTCAAGACTCGCCGGGTACTGTAACGTCTTCTGCAAGCTTTTTGCCAGGAACTCGAGCAGACCTTCTTGGCTTGCCACGGCATTGGACTGACTGCATATTTCACAGCCCGGGAGCATGATCTCGGCTGCTTTGCCTTTCAGCGAAACCCTCCCAGACCACATGCTTGACCCAGGACAAGGCTCCCTGCCAGAGCCAGAAGGAGCCTTAAAGCCCCTGGGAGCTGGTAGGAGAGGACCGGGCTGATGCTTGGAGGTTTTTCTCTGGCTCACTCCCCACTTTCAGCCTCTCTCTGTGAACCTGCGTTCCCTCCAAGTCTTCCCAAGCTGGGGCTTCTGGGTCTTGCAGACACCACCTGTAGCTGCATCACATTGCCACGTCCCTGGTGGGGTTTCTCCTTCACTTTCATGCCGGTGGAGGAAGGAGCGGTGCTGCTTGTCATCGGGAGTACTGGGGCTGGGTGCTTCTCTGGGTAACGGGGCAGGAGGGAGAAGAGGTGCTTAGTTACAGCAAGTTAATTCATGGAGTGTGGGAGGTGTTTTCCAAGTGAGTTGGGACGGAGCCTACAAATTCAGGTCTGTGTTGAGAACTTCCAAAATGTCAGGTATAGGGTGTCTGACTGATGCTTGATCCGTTTGAATGAACCCCGGTTTTGGAGCAGTGCCCAGGCGAAAGCCTCAGTGTGTGTCTCTGTCCGTGGCACCCTGTTAGGCGCCGCAGGCAATTCCCGACCCCGGCCTCGGCGGCTGCCCTGGCCGTCGTGCTTCGCACTGGCTGGGATTTTCCCCAGCGGATAAGCCAGGTGAACTCTTGAGCGTTGCTCCAGTGTCCTGGGGTTAATCCAAACGTGAACCGCAGCAGCAGCAGCGTGTGCAGCCCTCCGCTGCGAACCACACTCTGCACGTGCCTCCTCCACCTTTGGGGTTATTCCCCTCTCTGGGGGCTTTTGCAGCACACCCCATCCATCCCCTGACCTTGCTGACCTCCAGAAACGGTCATGCGAGGCCTGGGCACCTTTGAATGTCCTAGTGGAACATCCCTGTGCCAGAGGCTGCTGTGCTGGTGGGACCCAGCGGAGGAGGAGGGGGGGAGGTGACAGGGGGTCTTTGGGCAGGTGTGAGCATTTTTTAAGTGTATAGCACTGCTGTTTGTGGCAGCTGCTGTGCCCAGCTGTGGAGGAGACCTCTGTGCCACTGGCTCTCCAGCATCGGTGGGCAGTCACGAGGCGGGCAGCTCGGTTGCTGCGCTGTTGCGTGCCCCATTCCCCCCAGGATTTGCCTCCCTATTGCCTTCCAAGCAGGGCAGAGAGCTGGCAGGTAATGCCCGAAGCGAGTTTTCTTCCATCGCACGTGGTTTTGTTGTCCTCATCTGGGGTTAGCTTTCCCCTCGTCCTGTAGTGACCCAGGCACCCTGGAGATCAGCCGCGCTGAGCGCTGCAGAAAGCCTCCCGCCCGGCTCTGCTGGTGTCCGGGAGCCCCTCGTCTCCGTTGTCCTGTGCAAAGGTGCAAGGTGCCCCCGTGGCTGCTCGCGTGCTTCCACCCGTTCCTCCACCAGCGGTGGGAGCTGTGTCCTCTGCAGCCTCGCGGCGATGGAGGTGCATCTCCTGCCTCGGCATTGCAACGCCACGCCGTGGCTCTTCAGGTGGAAGGCAGAAGTGTTTGTAGGTGGTTTCTTTGGGATGCTTATTGGAAACTGATATCCCGTCCCGTGTCTGGGTGCAGACAGGGAGTTGGGGGACGGTTTGTACCCCTTGCCAAATCGGAGCGGCTGCTCTTTGCCTGTGGCTTGCAGGGCTTGTTTCTATTCCCCCCATCACCAGCTTGTCCCACGGCCAGGGGAGCCAGACCACGGAAGAGCTGCTTTGCCCAGTTTCGTATCTGAGTTGTCTTCTGCTTTCTCAGCACTGCTGGTGGCAGTGCAGCCAGGGAGGGAACTGGGCAGAGGAGGGCGAACACTGCTCAAAAGGAAAATGCTACACTATTTTGTTGTAAAGCCTGAGGGGGAGCACAGGGCAAGGCTGTGGAGGCAGGAGCGCCCTTTGCAACAGCCCAGCAGCGTTGTACCGTAGCGTCACCCTCCCGCGGCTCCCCGGCGTGAACGCCGTGGGAAGCTGGAGCTTGGAGACCATCTGCTCCCGCGCCCAG